TTTTCATCTGATGTAAAATGTATATAAATCATACATTTATACCAACCAGACAGTGTACATCACTGTCACAACAGTGTTCGTTTTCATTGAAAGGCTTTATGGCTTTAATACCTGGTGGGTCGGTCTCTCGTCAAATGCGCAGGCCGATTTTTTTGTCCCAGTCCAGCCCTGGGCACGATACACAGTGAATTAATCTGAGAAGGTGCTGTTCTGTTTTCAATATGTTCATATGCTAATGAGACAAATAAATGTAAAGTGTATTTCTATTGTTATACATCTGAATGCTGGACACTCGGAGACCTGTGTCTTTGAGTGGGAGACCAGAGATCACATTAACATGTGTGTCTCTGTATTATCAAACATGTCATATTGGCCCAGTTTATTTTTCTTATCATTGTTGTGAGGAGACCATAAATAGCATTTGCATTTACTGTTTTACAGTTCATTTGCTGTTATGGATAAAACGTGTCTTTTTTTTTGTTTCAAAATAGCTGGACTTCCGGTCTTGACAAGCATGGGGTAGTCACACTTTCCCTTAGCTCCCGCAACTTTTAGTTATTTGAGCAAGCCCACCTAACTTATCTTTTGAGACAAACATCTTGGTGACTTGGTGAAGCCGTTGGAACATTTAATGCCCTGTCATGTTGCCTAAACCTGCGAAGTCGAATGGTAAAACAACCGAATCCAGTAAACTTCTTTTCACTTCTCAAGTATCACTGTGTGTGTCTCCTGTATGATATATTTAACTGACTTTTTTTATTGTAACAACCAACGATTTATACAGGAAAATAATGTTGCTATTATCATTGTTGCCCAGACGTTTGCATCCCACTGTATTAGTGTATTTTGTCATTAGTATAATGTGAAAACAGTTCTACATGTGTCAAGTCGTGTGCCAACATTTGCTGTTTAGTAGAACTGAGACATTAGTCATTATAAAAATTTATTTGAAATAATATTAAAATTCTCAAACAGAAAAACATTAAACATAAATATATAAAATATAAGTATTTACAGAGAGACAGGAATAAAAAGGACCCAGCTGATCTCCAGAGAAGGAGCAAGGCTGAGGAGGAAATGCTCCATTGTAAAAGGGGCTATTTTAGAGTTATGGGGGCCCATATTAACGTAAAAAGACCTTGCTGACAAGTAGGACCGAAGCCACCGGAGAGCAGATCCTTTTTGGGCCACCATGAAGTTCCAGCCATGATAACAGGATGTCATGGTCAACCGTGTCAAAAGCTGCTGATAGGTCCAACAATAAAAGGGCAGCAGGGCTGCCAGAGTCCAGAGTTAAAAGAATATCATTGAAAATCCTTAAAAGTGCCGTCTCTGTGCTATGTAGTGATTTAAAATCAGATTGAAATCTTTCAGAGATCTTGTTAAAATCGAGGTGGGCCTGCAACTCTAAGTAGACCATTTTCTCCAGAAATTTAGAAAGAAAAGGAAGGTTTGAGATTGTGCTGTAGTTGGACAGAACAGTTGGGTCCAGGTTATGTTTTTTAAGAAGAAGCTATGATGGGACACAGCCTGTGGCAAGAGATGTATTAATTTATCTCAGGATAAAAGGCCCAACAGTATTAAAAAGTACCTGAGGCCTATGACTGTTTACTGACACTAAGTTTGAGACAAACTGTGTCTTTGCAGTTTTCACATTAAATTGAAATTGAATTTTATATTTTGTAAAAGGAATTCTTTTCCTTTCAAATTGTATCTTATCTTTTAAAAAATTTGCTTTGGAATGATTTCAATTTCATTTCTCACCATTTAGTTTCAATTCTAAAATTCAATTTCAGTTCTTAAGTTCAGTTTTTTGGGTCATACATCCGGGTCATTCAAGAAAGCCACAGAGTAATCGAGTGCAGATTAATCGAACTACGTTTTACCAACTGACCCAAAGTGTTACTGAGGGGAATCTACAGCATCTTGAGCGGGCGCTGGATTAAGACTTCAGAAGTCATTTGTTATGTCACATGACGACTAAACTGTAATTTTTGTGCTTATTGTAGTTGTTAGCTAAAAATGCTAATTTAGCATAGTTTTCCCTAGGTTCAGCATTAAATCTATTATCACCAGGATCACCTGATTAATGATGTTTAGCACCTTCCATCCCTCTGTCGTTTTAAAAACAGTGTTGCATTTTAATGATAGATTTTTATATTCTTAATTTTTTTTTTAATCACAACTTGATGATGTCTCTGGCAGTACTCACATGTCCATAAACAATCAGGTATTCCCACTGATAAGTGCAAGCAGCTTCATCAAATATGTATGTTCATGATTTTAACAACAACAAAAATGTCATGTACCAGAATAACCCATTAGCTGTGCATTTTTTGTGTTTAACCCTTTAAAATGAGTCAGCCTTGTAGCACTGCAACCACGTGAGCTAGCGCAAAATTTTTTTTTGAATATGAAACCAGAGGAGTTGTACTTACATCTTATGCCACCAGCTTGTCCTAGGTCACAGTTTCTTCCACATATAGCTTTGCAAAAATTGCATAAAAAGCACTTGCAGCAACAAAAACATAATATTCCAGAAACACGCTTTGCCGATCTGATCAGCTGTTCATAACACTTCCTAC